TCTTGGGTGAAATAAAACGTTCAATTAACAGCTTATCGTATGCTTGCATGAGCCTAAAACTACTTAAAAATAAGTATTTTTGACATGACATAAAACACTCGGAGTAGGCCCGAAAAAGGTTCAGGAAGTGAAGTCACATATAAAGTTTTTCCACACGCACTACTAGCCAACAAAATAGAGATTAAGAAGGTTTATTTAGAGGGTATAAAAACAAAAGGTTCTGACCAAGCGATTTCGCCGAGTGGCTCTAATGAGACACGCTTGAGCCAGCCCTCCGCGCCATTAGTCACCGCCGCCCCAGTAAATATTTATCGAGATACCGTACACAAACTCAAGTAATAGCTGAAAGGGTGAGACGGATACATTTCTCCCATGTTATTGAGTCGCACTTGAACTCGAGAAGATTTGCTTTCGGTTAAAAGAAAAATCTTGTGTGGAAATCTGCAAATGATGTTGTTATCTTTTATTTATACTTTTATGTTTTTATGGTCTTACTTTAATAATTCAAACCAAAAGCATGCTTTTCGTCTCTTCTATTGAATATAGTAAGTAAGCTTCATCAAGTAGCCTATATCAAGAAAAGAAAAAAAATCATTGAGCAACACTCACAAGAACAACCTAGTGCCAGCTACTATTATTACTAGCATGTAATCACAAATATCACAATCCACTGTCTATATTTACTTAGGCTGAGTTGCGTCACTTAACTTTGACCGTAACTATAACGTTAATCTGTGTTTTTTGTATGGAGTTTGACAGGTTTTTGATATTTGTCAAAGTTAAAGTAAGATGGTGCAACCGAGCCTTAGTGGTAATAAGTTAGGAAACCGGCTGTATAGGCTGCCCCCATATATGGAGTAGAAAGGTTCGTGATTGAAGGATTTATGAGACTACCACGTGACCCTGATTCACTTTACAGCGGGCCATTGTATTCATAAATAAATAAATATAAATAAGGCGATGATGCTATGAATATTTGAAAAGGGGGTGTTTTGGGAAACTATAGTTATAATGATGAAGATTACTCGTACCATAATAAAGGCTTTCAAACGAGATACTGATCATAATCGGTGGTATAATCAACTGTCGTAGGCGGTGTGTTTTATTTTACAACATTATCAAATATTTTATTCTGTAAATTATAATTAATTTGATGTTTGTAATAGAAATCAAAATGGTACCAAGATTCACGACAATGCGGCCAAGGTGTTTAAACTTATACTCCAGACTTGCACTTCTCGTGATAAATTACTATCGTTAATTTTTCAATTTCGTGAAAGTGAGCATTCGTAGCTGATAAACTGCGATATAAAATGCATTTTGCTTTTCCACTGGAAAAATTTAGTCTTGCTGAATAAGCACTCTATTCTTAAATGGAAGACTTCATTTTTCGGACAGACAAGTAACATTCGCAGCAGTTTTTGGACAGTTACTTTATTCGAGTGTGAGCTATCATTACGAGTGTTTCTAGGAATGACATTGTGTGTCGAACGGACAATTAGATGTACTTATAGAACTAATAAATAGTTGTATTCAAGTCAGTGTAGTTTTTGTAGAATTATTCATTATTGTGCTTGTGCGTGTCACTAATTTCGAGACAAAATTTTCATGATAATGATTTAAAAAACATAACTTATTTTATACCTACTTAAGTCCAGTGAATATTTATTTACGTTTCCTAACTTTGAATAATATGATATTTCTCTAAATGATTTAACATGGTAATAACACGCCAAACACACCAATATTTGAGTTAAGATGTTGCAATAAAATACGCAAAGGGATTTTTTTTATCCACTACGAGGAAGCTCTTAGTCTGCTTCTCGACTGATGGAAAGTGATCATCAGGCCGAAAGGTGGAAGCGAGCCTTCACCTTTACCTATAAATACTTTCAATTTGATAAATATCATTCTATTCTTCATTCTTCGGAAGGCACGCTCTGTCCGGTTCTACCAGGTAGTTTGTTATGTTTAAATTTCTTATTCAGGCGATTTAATTTTGTATATTAAGTGTGGGAGAAGCTGGATTTGGCAAGAAAAAAACAACGAAAAGAATTTTACTTACGTAATTAGTTTTGTGTTACTTTATGGAATGAGAAATGAGGAGCACTAACACTAATCACTGCGGTGCTCCAGTAACTAGATTAGCGGTCGTGTAAATAATGTGTTTTTACAGTTATTTCTAATATCCTCGTTTGTGATGATATAGGCACACTACAGATGTAATAATGGCGTCACGTCTAGTGACAAAATGGGGTTGTACACTGGACCGCAAAGAAAAAGTTCGGTTAGTAGTCGGCTTCAATATGTTCAAATTACCTGACCAGTAATAAAAATAATTCATTCAAGCTTTTTATTTTTGCAAAATAAATAAAAATGCGTAGTTTTTCCAGTATCTTTTGTTTTCCCCTTTTTCTTTGCAGTCCAGTGTATTATGATATTAGAAAATACTTAGCTACTTATTTGATAGGCTGTGCAAGAGCGACGTAACAAAAAATACACAAGTTAGTTTCAGTGGTGTTAAAAGTTAGCGACAATTTATAGATCGAGGAATTATTTTTTAAACCAATCAACTAAGACATACAGAAATGCAGTTCATGTAGATTGTAGAGTTCTTCCTTTAGAGAGTACCTACTTACCTACGAGTAGTTATTGACTGATATTACTTCAACGTGGTTCATGGGGTAGTTATGGTGATTAATGAGTGTTCCTGTGTCCATCATAGCCATTGCCGTAATTATGCGACGTCGTATTGCGCAGGTATCCACAGGTTACGCGGCCATTTTGTTGACAAATGTCCGTCATTAATAGACGTAGCCGCTGGCTGACGTAATACGTCAATGTCGAATAACAATTGAACTTGCTATTTTATTAAGACGTATTTTAGTAGTATTTTAGTCACTAACTGATACCTACATGCATGCATTATTCATAGTTTTCATTTGTGTCGATGTTTGGTATAAAGAAAGACAGATTTCAATTTTCAGCTAAACATTTTTTAGTTTATGATGAACCAATTAACTAGGAACAAAAGGGGAAGATTAATAAACAAACCTTGGTTATCAACATTCATTTTATTAGACGTTTATGATAATATTTGCATCACTGTAATTAAATATTTATAACTGGTTTTACTATATTTTGTTGTACATGTTTAATCTATAATATGTATTCATATTGTATTCTATTCAGTAGTATATGGTATCCAATGGAGTTCTTTCAACAGTTTCTATATACAAGCGTTAAAGAAGACTTTTTTCCGCGTTTTAACAATATACATCTATATTACTTTATATACAGTTCTGTCTAAACTATCTCTATATACGGTTAAATTGATATTTACAGTCAGTGTTAGGTTTCCAACAAAGGAGTAGAATAACAGTTTTTGTTCAATTGTAATAAAATATCTTGTGTTTTAAACACAGCAATTTGATTGTAAGAGAATATTTTAAAATAACAATAGCTATTAATTAAAATACTAAGGTTCAAAGAATACAATTGCTCATCTAGTGAAAAAACATCTCGTAACGCGTATTTAGCTTTCGTAAAATACGTAATGTATATCGTATCGAATACGATATAAGCCTAATAAGGCTTCTAAGGTTTTTATTTGCCATAAAAGAGTCCCAAAAAATTTTTTTACTACTTACTGTGTACCTAGATATTTTGCAAAAACCATAACACGTTGTGTAATTTTTTACTGAGTTAGCATTTTTTCTCTGAACCTCAATTAAACATTTAAAATACAATCAATTTATAATAAATAGTGTAATTACTTAAAAATTTACAAACGATTATAGACGAATACACATCGAACTTATTATAAAATAGATCAGTTATAATTTGAAGTTTGTCCAATTTTTTATAGATTTTATTTTTGTGCTTACCAAAATAATTGCTTACCCTACACACGTAATAAACAATTTAATTATTGTACTCATTATTTATAACAGCGTGTCGGCACGTGCGTCGAGATCAAGTTAACTTTGTTCGACGCTGCGTGTGACCGCCGCCTTAGGTGGAAGAATGATTGCCACGATCGACTATGTTTGCGTAGCTTCTGTATTTTACACAATTTCAGTACTTTTATTAAATAAAAAAAACCATTTAATTTTTATGTATTTGCTGACGGTATAATTTTATGTCCTACCTCATTTACCAAGCCATGTGTACATTGTACATACACGTGTAATAGGGGGGCTACCAGTCGTCATAGCGAGTGCACTCGCTCGCGTCGGTGTCTAAGGCCCTTTTCACATGTCCCGGTTGCCGGCTAACCGGCGCCGGGTACCCGGTGGTGAAGTGTATGGGCATGGTACGTAGCTTTCACATGTACCGGCGTAATTAATCCGGCATGCCCATACACTTNTACCCGGTGGTGAAGTGTATGGGCATGGTACGTAGCTTTCACATGTACCGGCGTAATTAATCCGGCATGCCCATACACTTCACCACCGGGTACCCGGCGCCGGTTAGCCGGCAACCGGGACATGTGAAAAGGGCCTAAGTCTTGACATTTAGTAGATTTCAACATTATTGGGAAATAATGTTGAAATCAACATCAGAGCATCATGTTAAAAGTGGTATCTAGCTAACTTAACCGATTCCGCGGACACAGCCGCGGCAGGGGGCTACCAGTCGTCATAGCGAGTGCACGCTCGCGTCGGTGTCTAAGTCTTCCTAACAGTTTTCAAATCAACATCAGAGCATCAAGCATGTTAATAATTTTAAATGTAGTATCTAGCAAACTTAACCGATTCCGCGGACACAGCCGTCGCGGGAGGGGCCTACCAGTCGTCATAGCGAGTGCACGCTGGCGCCGGTGTCAAGTCTTGACTTAGTCCTCCCAATAATGTTGAAACCAACATCAGAGTATCATGTTTATCATGTTTATCATGTTAAATGTGGTAGGGCCGTAACGCTAGTAGGGCCCAAAAGATAAGGAAACATGTAAAGTGCCCTTAAGGGCTACCTTTTTTACTGTATTTTGACGTTCATAAGTAACAGTAGTGGTCAAAATTGAATGATATATTTTTGATTTTGATTTTGGTATCTAACAAACTTAACCGATTCCGCGGACACAGCCGTCGCGGGAGGGGCTACCAGTCGTCATAGCGAGTGCACGCTCGCGTCGGTGTCGCTCTCGGCGCCGCCCAGCAGCAGCGTCGACTCGCAGGCGCGGCCGGCGGGCGCAGCCGGCATTAGTCACAGCTCGATGGGCGCCGCGCCCTTCCAGCTTACTCCCGCGCGCAGCAGGTGGTATAGTCGGAGGACGCACCATATGCATAGGCACTGAGAGCAAGAGAAGATAATGTCAGCACGCCAATTAACACAAGTCAGGGAACTTACAGCTTAAAGACATATTTTTTTAATCAAATTATCCAGATCTCAGAGATATGATGCTTCGCGGTATCATCACGAGGTCATTAAGTATCCACTTCAGGAGCACGACATGATACTATCTAATTTTCCGGTGGCCAAAGGATTTGGATTTGAAGTATGATCAGAAGAGTTACAAGCTAGCGTCTACTCTATTCTTTTCAACCTAAAGATGTCCACATATCCATCTAACAGTTATTATCTACCATGTATCATTTATTTTACTTACATTCAGTAGTATCCTTGGTATTAAAAATGAAATTTCCGCTTTGCACATAGCGTCGAATTGCTGGAACAATAGCAAAAACACTGTTAATTAAAGTATGAATACGCTATTATCTTCGGAACAATTCATCTCAAGAACAGCCTATAAAATGAGCCCTTACAGCTCCGGAGATCCCCTTTTAGTAAATTTTCAAGTTCGATTTTACGAAAGCTCCGAGTATGACGATAAATTAGTTGATTGATTAATGGAGAGTTGCCACTTGTAACATGAGACGAGTTTATTTCGCAAGCTTTTAGCAAGAAAATTTGAGATAAAATTAATTTTCGTTTTCATTTTCAACAATACGTAAGTAAATTGTCACATGTTCATTATTTCACTTCCGCTGTACCAATTTAGGACGAATTAAAGCTTCCGATGTATAAATGTAGGGATACAGTCGCTATACAAGTGTGATACAGAGAAAATTTTCATTACAGTCCTGCGAAATGATATACGTAGGATACCTTAACTTGAAGTAAACATGGTTGAGCATAAGATTTGAAAACGAAAATGTAAAGCAACTTTTTAGGAGCAAAATATTAATGTTGGATCGCTGAGTGAAGATTTTTAAAATCAACGACAGGCAACTAATTAGGTTTAAGTGGTTGTATAGGACGACAGCACATCAGGATTTTAGATTTTAAGTAGGTACACCAGCCGGACTAGGATGCGCACCGTGATAAAATCTTATCGCGTAAAATCGATAAAATCTTAGGCCTACAGGTATCACGGTCTTTAAACATGACGTGACGTCGCGTCATCTGATTTTACTACATTTTTATGAAACAACGTTTATTTCAGGTGTTGTTTTTGTTATGATTCAGCCCATCAGACGCTGCTCTACAGGATTCTGTAGAGCAGCGACGGATGGTCTAGAAATAAGGATTTGAGATTTCAAATCCTTATTTTTTAGATGTGAACTCATATCGCTAATTGAATATTTTCGTATCCTGTATCGTACGAGTAATTTGAGAATTTTATATACATAATGATTCTTCGTTATTATCTTGTATGTCACTGTACGCGGTGAATAGAGCTACGAATGGTGACATTTGAATTTCTATTTTCAATCCCATTTTCGCAGAACGGAGGAAGAAGACATTTCGATTGGCTGCAATTTTAATTACAGCACATTGTTTGAAGGGAATATTAATGAATGGTTCCGAAGGCTGAAATTATCAGGAACTTGATTGTCTTCATACGGTTTCTTCTTTAAGTACTTAAGTAAGCGTTGAAGGACAAATACTGTAATCAATACGGCGGCGAACTGTTAATGTGGGAACGAGCTGTGTTAGATGTTTACGACTGTTGTTACCGAATAAAATGAACCATAAACGCTAGGTGGATTTTTAAAGGCGATGTGTTGAAGTGCCCAATAATAAATAATTCAAACACACATTTGTGAAATTGTTTACCTATGATATTGTTTTCAGTGACTGAAAATTTGATTTTAGGATAAGTTGGTTTTAAAGTTTTGCTTGTGTTTTGATTGTCTTTTTATCTGATTGCGCCAGGAGTAGGGTTATTTCCTTATTACCTGTTATTTGTTTGGTGTAATCAATTTTTCGATAAATATTTTCTGTGTCATTTAAATAATACTACATCAAAATTAGCTTCATTCAAGATGATTACCATAAACTCATCCAAGTGGATTATAAAGTGACTAAATGAGAGGTATTAAAACGAGATCACCATAAACTCTGCGTAATAAACCGAATCCAATAGCAATGCCAATTTGAATTTGATTGAAACGTCGAGATTTATTAGTCGGATTTGAATAATCGAGAGACGGTACATCGTTATTCGAATTACAAACGATATATCAGAATAATCGATGGAAAGTCCAGCGATTGCCGCTGGATACTTTTAGTACAAACAATTCATCGAATACTAATGCGACAGTCAATATTGTTTCACAAAATATTTACTAGTACTATCGGGGCGTGCGCTTTGTACACAGGTATCAAACCAATGTTGGCTCACGTTGCGGTTTGTTTTTATTTCAATGGTTACAAACAAAACAATAAAAGACACCGATAACTCTCTGTTACATAAATTGAAATATTTAATAACCTCAGTAAAAGTTACATGTCAATTAATTAATTCAAGGGGTTAAACTTTTTTTCTTGTTTTTTTTAATTTAACAGGAGGCAAACGAGCAGACGGATCACCTGATGGTAAGTGATTACCGTCGCCCATAGACACCCGCAGTCCCAGGGGCGTTACAGGTGCGTCGCCGGCCTTTAAGATGAAGATAAGTACGCTCTCTTCTTGAAAGCTTGCAGATCGTGAATAAACCACGGATACTCTCGGCGCACTTAAGGGACTCTTATCTAGGTATAAATAAGACGTCAATATTTAGGTGACAATTTATTGCTTGACACAGGTTGTCAATGGTTCACCAAGGTGTCAAAGGTTCTCAAAGGTTAACAGATGTCAAAATACTCCAGGTATATAAAGCCAGGGAAAAAAATCTGGACACCGCGGTACAGCTTTTCGTCCCTCAAAATACAGTGACATCTATTGGCAACAAACATAAACAAGTTTCATGGAAGGTTTATACAGATCGTATCCGTCCGGAAAAACCACAGACGACAGTCAATTCCACAGTTTGGTTGTACGGGGCAGGAAGTTTGAAGGGATTATCTGTACAACTTAATTAGAGGCGTTAGGTCCGGTTTTCACTAAATCAGAGCGGAGCAGAGAAGTATTTTGATTATTCAATCAGATTTCGTTGTTCAGGAAATCTGATTGGTTACTCAAAACACTTCTCTCCGCTCCGCTTCGTCTTGGTGGAAACCAGGCCTTTACACAGACCGTAGGTATAGCTTCTAGATTTGTGTTAGCCAAATCTAATCAAAGCAGTAAAACGTTAGTAAGTAGTAACGTACTCGTAAGTGGGTACAGTCAGCGTCCAATAGTTCGTGACACTCAAAGTAGCCAAAAAGTTGACTACACAACTTAATTGCAATTATACAAAGCCGTATTGTGAACTTTTTGGCTACTTTGGGTGTCACGAACTATTTGAGACTGACTGTACTTAATGTTATGAAGTATTTATTTTCGAATAAAATCAGTGAACGTTTGTTCAATAAAATTATTAGCCCACGCCAAAACAGAACTTTAAGCCTGAGGGAGATAAGGCAGCTAAGATTAGACCTTTTGTTGAATAACTTGGAGTCACCTTCAATTTCAATTAAGGGACTTCTCATTTCTGCAAAGTACTCAATTTTCATAACTTTTTCAAGGTAAAGTAACTAATATTATAAATACAGCACCAAGTTTTATTAGCTTTGAATAATATGACTTGAATTATGAGATTACCGTTTAAAGGAAAGTAACTTTCTAGTAAGTATAAACTACATAATGCTTAATTTAATTTCCGTGTCACATATTAAACGACGATATATTCCTTAGTGTTTGGTAAATTCCAAACCCACATCTTTTTCATTTAAGCATTATATTTATCAAAAATACTGAACTTACAGAAAACTCAAAGCGCTTACGGGATTCGTTACGAACATTATAATAGAATTATCAAATAAAACTTAACCAAATTCAAATTCAATAATTTAGTAAGCACAAGCATTCAATAATTTACGAAGCAAAGTAACTACCTAGATTGATACACTTCTGATTTTTTTTAAAATTATGATAATACTACATCTCTGTTGATATCCAATAGAGAGCATGTTAATACTCTCAAATTTTTTAATTTTGTTGAATTTAAACAAGCTATACACAACTTTGTTCATTCCCGTAATAATTGTGATCGAGATTTCCAAGTAATATTGTACTGTTTAGAAACAACTTGAAATTAAACCTTTTTCCTACAATTAACAGTGTAAATTGTTTAGAATCCAATTCCGTTGTTGTTTTCCTCAAATTAGCAGCCTGATTCTATCAATCAGGAACAGAATAAATAAATGGAGTGTTGTTTTTTATCAGCTAAAACAACGGTTGCGTGTTTGAATCTTTGCGAAATAGACTCATAAAGTTAAATAGAATAGGAACCAAAACCGAATATTGGTATCAAACATTACATTAAAAAAAAAGCTAGTGTTTAGTCAGCTGAAAACAGCTAAAGGCCGCGCCCGCATTATCGGTCAACGATTTGTTTTAAGCCTTGTCTTTACTACCACTATACAATCGGTTTTTATTTTGCATGTTTTCTTCTCCTGTGTACTAGTTTACGTTAGGTGAGCTCGCTAGCGAATACGTCAAAAAATTCTATGAAGATTTTATTTCTTGAAAGTAGCCGCTAGGGGCGCTGCACAATATGTCATACATTTAAATGTCATTTTTTTTACGCAGTCGCTAGCGAGCACACCTAACGTAAACTCATGGTAAGCACACTGGTCGTTTGGGGTCAAAAGAGAAGTTATACTTTCTGACCATTAAAGCTCATAGCAAACTTATCAATTCGGAAAGAGATCAACATCGTATCGCCTTTCGCGAGCTGTCATCTTCGTTCGCGAGCTGTCATCTTCTTTCGCGCACTGTAAATAGCAAGGCGAGGCGTTTACGTTACGGTGCGGATAACTGTACGTTGCAGTAAGTATGGAGTTTCATACAAAGAATACTGACCGCCTCGAGTTGATACGGTTACGATCCTTTTCTGGGTTGATAAATGTGCGACGTCTTTAAATCACATACTCGTACTTCACTACTAATATGATACTGAAACCTTAAATTTAATATGATACCAAAACCAGATCGTACGGGGCGACTCTATCGCGCCGTTCATCAAATAAACCACTCCACTTCTGACTCCGCCCTATTTTGCAGTATAATTATGACAATAGCTCCTGTTTACATGCTGTAATCGATAAAGCAAAGATTTATGACTCTTTGAAAGATATTTCATTACTATTGATTTCCATTTGCATGTTTGGACATCGTCGACATGATTCCTTTTAAATATAGCCGCCGACACCACGCCCCTAACCTGTCGGTGGACTTGGTGTGTAGAGTCCTATAAGCTTAGCTTTGTAATTGTTCATGTTTCTTTACACATTGTCTTTATTTAAACAATCAAACTGGTTAAATGTTTATTTGTAATTATAAAATAACGAAAATAAACGTTTACGTGGGTATAAGTTTAAAGATTGTTTTATTAAGTTTAGATTGAATTCTAGAAGCTTGGAAAAGTCATAATTATTTTTACGTTCATATACTCACTCGCGATAATAATAAAGGTGATATTAGCTTGTCAGAAAGCGTTGATTTGTTGCGGCTTCTGAGCTTTAGTAGGGCTTCTTGGCGTCACGGTCAGTCGTTGGCCTTGAGCTTGGACTTTCAGTTCATTGTCTTTCATCGACAATGTTTAATTTGTTATTTCAATAAAATGTGCCACGTTGAAGATACTTTGCATTTATGAAGATGTTGATGTTACTGATTAATCAGGACTAACTTAACAAGAGTGTTGAGTTCACTACACATTTTCTTTAAATCTAATGATACCGTGAAATCTGCTAAGCATCACAAAACTACGAATTTTTGTAGTACCTGTGGTAGTACTAGCTAGGACAACTACTTTATCTCAAATTTCATTGGTAGTTATAGTACCTAATGATTAACCTCAATAAATCAAGCAACGAGCTACTTTCTACAATAGCTTGATAAATAAGTTATACGCAATATAAGATACGCTTGTTCTATACCAGGCAGGGGGCGCTATGCAAATGAGCCTGTTAATGTAAATAAGGTCGAATCGTCCTTTGTGTACCGGGGCCTTAAATTATGTATCTGTCTCGTAGTGCTACGAACTACGAGCCTCCGATGTTAGGGAGCGTACACACGGAAAACTTTCGTTAAACAGGCATTAATAAACTAGGCTGTGTAGATAAGGTTTTAATGTCACGATATTCCACAGAACATTATATTGACTTGGCACCATATGAAGTAGGTACAAGTGACTAGAAATTCAGTACAGGTAATAATTACCCTTAAATGTATACTACCTCTAAGGTCGTCCCCCAACGTATATTATATTGAAACTATATTACAACAAAATATGTGTGTTGGAACTAGGTTACCTACGATGTGACAAATTAGTTACGAGTAATTTTCAAACACCGTATCGCGTTCCCAACATGTCAAAAGGCAATTTCATTCCTTCCTTGCTGTTTTGAAATTATATTACGTTCCTTTCATCAGCTACGTTACGTGAATATCAGGTCTTAATTGTGTTGAAAATTCCCGTTACTGGATACATTCCCGGCAAAATTGATTCAATTTCGTTTTTGTTTTCGTTGGATGTTTTGCCGTAGACACCGAAAACGGATCACGCAACAGAGAAAATAGGACCCAGAATATTTCGTGCCGTGTTTAATCTTTTATTCTTTAAGACCTTCATTAGGGATACCTATAATTCAATATCTTTTGTTATTCTTTACCTATATTTCAATAATTTTATTGAAATATAGGTTATCGTTGGTCTTTATTTTCAGTAGGTATTAGGTTACTTTACTTATTGATTCACACATATACAGTAGTATTTTTTTATACCTAAGCGCTACAGTTGTGAAGCTACTACGGATCCTTACTTTAATAATCGAAAACATCTTACACCATTGAATAATACCAGGATGAGAGGAAAAAGTATTCCGTTCTAAGGACATTTTCATTCCATCCTTCAATTTCATATCTGCGAAAAGAATAATAAAATCTTCAGTCCTTGATACGAGTATAAATCTCTCCTGAATCTTATTTTAATTCATCCACTCACTCTTGGGATCGGATATTTATTACTTTCTATTTCGGATACAGTAATAAAATACGAACGTGATTGTTTGAAAAGATTTTCCGAGACGCTTACTTACGAAGTCACAAAGCCTTTGGAGGATCGTATAATACTTATTCTAGGGCCATAAAATGTAGTGCAGCCATATATCCCTGGTGCAATAGTTCTCACGTTCCAAAGCAACCGCGAGAATATCTTTTAAGAAGTTTGAAATATGTTAGGTAACATTTGGTACCATTTGGAATCTTGGAGAAGACCAACGTTCGCATGCCAGCTGTGAGCCGCAAGCGGGTTTGGGTCTTGGACGGTTGTGTTAGAGTTTACGTTTGGTCGTTGTTGGTTGTGTTAACCAAACATAGGGCTATTTGGAGCAAACAATGGGTGACTGTAATCGGCAATTTGCCTCAGCCGCAAGCAAGGGCCTTTGTTCGTTGTTCTCGGATATGTGCAAGTTCATTGTTGCTTTGACGGTCGCGCGTCATTGTCTGACGCTGATGACATCGGGCCTCGGATGCAGATGGGTAGATATGCCACATTGCTAATTATCATGCCGATGGGCTTCTTATCTGACTGGTTACAATGAAATTGGCAATCATTATGATCTTACTACGTTATCTCGACACAGTACTTACTAAATAATGTTAATTTAGATCATAATGAAATCACACACGTCTGAACATTTACGTGTTGTTACAAAATAGCAACATAAGACGCTACAATGTTTCCTTAATTTGCTGTCGTCCGTACTACGCTACATTAACTTTGCTAGCCTTTCTATCACTAAAGTTTTTAATGGAACTTTTAAACTTACCTTGTTAACATGATCTCTAAGTATATTGGAGTACACCATGGCCATTGCTTCTAGCGCCATGAACGTCATACAGCCCACTACCCACGGAACTAGGAAGGCAATATTTTCCTGAAAGATAACACAATATGTAAAAACAATACACGGATAATGCTCATATATTTCCCTAAATCTGAAAACGAAATATTTTTCAATATCTGAAGGGTCAAATCTCACCTAACGCCATACAGCTTTTACAGTATGAAAATATTAGCATTTTCTGACTGCAACAGACTCTAGAATTCTTATCGGTAAGGGTCAAAATTGAATGGATGTCAATCTTTATGAGTGCCCACATAGTAAAAACGAAGCAGCTAGCACATTATCATTGGAAGGTTCAATCTTCACTAGTATGTATAAAGCAGGTTAAACTTATCAAGTGTGTCTTTTACATTGCTAGATCGTAGAATCGTACGAGTATTCATTGAATTTTGTAATTAATTATTATTTAATTCACGTTCACACGTGATAATCACTACCTTTACTTTTGTGGCTGACTATAGAGAAACTAAACATAATAGAATAGAAATCATATTTTGTTCAAGGGTCAGCACTGGGCCTCGTGGCTTCGGCGTGCATCCTATTTATTGCATCATAATAAAGATGTCACATCTATCATTATGTATTCTGTGCCTCTATGTCCTGGCTGTTCTTTTCGACAATAGTGGTCTTCCATCTCCCAAGTACTATCCCTTTTTCGATGCCAATACTTTGGGACAGGAATTCAAGGAGCGGATGAGCGAAGTGGGTGAAGGTCGGGCTCTTATCGGAGCCAGGATTGCGGCATCCGACTCAACGCATTATTAGTGCGATCGAATGACACATACAGATCTTCAGTCAATAACATAAAGTCTATATTTGAATGTCATTTCTAATCCAATATTTGAGAATTTGCGTACAGGTATTGCGGATTCTTCAATGATTGTCGCTGGCTTTCTATAATAGTTTTCTGTCGAATTTTAAGTGTTATTAAAGTATCAAAAATGTATATTTGACGAAGTATAAAATATTATTATTATGTCAGTGGCAGAAAAAATATTTGAGAATGTATTTAGCACTCATTGGCAAGTGTATCTTGAATAGCCCGATGAACGCCTTATAGATGCAATGTATCTTTTAGAAGAAAACGAGAATGAAAGAGATCAGTGAACCGTATTTTCGGTAAATACATCGAATAATTGTCTAGTGAACTAACATGTAGAGACTAGAGAGTATGTATGATGTTCTTAAAGCCATAATTAAGCTGCTCGTTAAGGACAACGCGTTGTGTATCAGGCTGTTGCTATAATACCAACTTGTACCACGCTATATTACAATTATGCTACTCCGCAGTCATGGCACATAACAATTTTATAGCTTGAGTAGGGACTTGTGCTGTGCTGATGTATGTAATTGGATATTGGCTTACATAGTAAAGTACGAGTTTCTGTAGCAGAGCAGAAGGATCTGCTTACAATTTTCATTCTCAAAAGACACAACTTTTGCTGTTTGCGGACTGTGTGGACAGATGAAAAGTAAATTAAATTGTAGAGAGATGGTATTGATATTGCGATGCGGGGTTGTGGGCAAACTTTCCTTTCACAATAAGTGTCGGGGACGCCAACAATTTGGGTAAGAGGGTTTATTTGGGTCGGCAATAAAATCAACATTACAATATAGAGCAGATGCCAGATATTTTTGGTACGTAAATACGAGTTAAATCCGTAATTAAAATATAAATCGCGGGCTTAAAAACATATTGCTTTCAAGCTCTCGACAGAAGCAGCTACATTTTTATGCTCAAATAAAGTCTTATTCTGTTTTGATCATGACGTGAATATATTTTTGGTTCCTATAGCCATTATGGCTATACTTTGTTTGTGATATCCAGAGTCGCCATTTTTTTACGGTTGCGGACCTAAAGAATTCAGTGTCAAATGTTTACATGATGAATCGATACATACCTAACTGATAACTTCTATCCGGTCAAAGGGATTTTTCGAGGTTAAAATATCCCTCCCAAATACCCGTAAAAAGAAATTCCTGCCTTTGTACCTACTGGGTATTTTCCTTACTTTTTTTACACTAAAACTTTTATAACATACAGAAAAGTATATAAAAATACATACTCACTTTATAAATCCCGTAGAGCAGGAATATACTTAAAATAATCATGAACATCTGTGTTCCTATTATTGCAAAATAAGCTATCTGTACACCTGAAACAAAGAAAGAGATGTGTTAGATAATTACGCGAGGATGATACAAATATTGGATGATGTAAGATTATGCACATAAAACGAAATAGTTAGTCTACGGAATAACAAATGTAGGCCATTGCCCAACCAACATTTTGCTGATAAGATAAGAATATTTTAAGAACATGAGGGACAAAATTTGATGGTTTGATTTGGTCACACGATTTTAGAGCTTTAAAGCTTAAGAAAAAGCGGTGAGATGAATTGATGACATTTTTTTTTCCTGAAAATCTAAAAGATACACAATTATGGGTTTTGTATTAACTGTTATTTTACGAATGGCCTGTCCTTTTACATCATAGATTTCTATTAGTCTTTTAGGTAAAGTATAGTAAAACCGTTCGTTGTGGTCTTGCGCTACGTATCTTTATTTTCATTAAGCGTACCTGAAAAGCAATTTCGGTTGGTTCTAAAGAGTGATTAATTTAAACCCTTATTAATGGTAGTTGGCGGTACGAGTACGTTACACGTGGCCTCAGGCGGACAGACGTGTGCCTCCACTTTGGGATTACACGCGTTACACGTAAACTCCTTGATACTGGATTTCCAAAATAAAAGTTTCAGGTCTCTAAAAAGGGATCCCTGCTTCAAGTAAAAAGAGTTTTAAATAATTTACGTGTGCTCAGTTAAAAGTAAAAGATTTTATTTCATTTTTTTTGCTTTTGAATTGTGTGATATGACAACAAATAAGAGGAAAAATGTCAATTTAAACAAGCGTTTAACGCCCAATTAACTGTTTGTAACAAGCTTCTGAATGTTTTATCTCTATACTTTTATTTGTGTTTTATGTTATCTTTTAAAGCTGAAATTAACACTCGCTAGCACTTTGTAGAACTAAGGTCATCACAAAGTTATTTTAAAATTTTCAGCGGATACAATTTCTATCAGCAGCCAGTGAGCTGTATGCGCATGCTAGCAATCAAAACCACTTCAGGAATAATACCCGTTAAGGCATCGACGCAGAAAACCGACTACAGCATAGCATCGGCACGTAATCGATTCTCGGCAGAACAAACGAATCGGGCCAAAATCGATCTCTCGCCGATTACTCGCGTATTTTGCTTCCCGCAATTGCGCTAGACTCAAGTAAACTATACGCGCGTTTTTTAATTGAATTTGATTTACAGCAAGTTGTACAAGACTACATTTTCGCGTTGCTTTTGTCCCTATATTTTAATTGTTTTATACGTTATTGTAAATTGTACTCTGTCCCTGTGTATTTATTTTTTGTTCTTGTTCTGTGTGTGGTGTACAAGTGTTTTTATTATTATTGTTTTAAGTAATGTATGGTTTCTTAATTGGATTGCATTCCCAAGTGTAGAATAAGGTGCAGGCTAAAAGCAATGTTCAAAAATCGATCCCATCTCAGTCATAACGTAGAGATTTCTCTAGAATCTATATCTCCAACTAGTTTAAAGCTTCTTTCTGAAATACGGACTAATACGGACACGGAAAAATATTCTCTCTCGTTTGAACATTGAAGAAAGAGAATTAAAAATACATTTCACACATTATCGAAAACGGTTTTGCTTTGGATCAGAAGAAGCCGTGGAATAAGTAGGTACCTAGTCTCCGGGGAAATCTGTCAGATTTAATGGGTCTATCTTGAAACAGTCGTAAAGATGGTATGGCTTTGCGGCTGAAATTTTTAAGCCCCTTTATAGTGATATAGTTTATGAGTTATGCCCACACAACGTTTGATTCATACGCATGATTTGAGCACATGAGTAAAGAAACGGAATTTGAGGTAATATCATTATTTGACTTTCTTTGAAAATGACAGGAGTGCATGGACTTTACCTGACTAGCTAGACATATGAATAGTGTAATTGGTACTACCGTTCTATTAATAAATAAAATAAATAAATATTACATATTGTAACTGCAGGCAGGTATTCCATGTGATAAATAAGAGGCTGACAATGGTGACTGACTTTTTTCGCCAATTCTTTTCAGCACAGTCGATATTCTGTATGGCAAGCCATATTGGGAAAAAGGTCTACTAATAATGAATTTAAATTCTGAATTATTACAGTACATCACGCTAAATACTGTGGCATCTTTGCAACAAAAATCTATAGTATAATCTGACGTTCTATGTACTCTCTCACCTGTACTTGACTTTGGTAATTATAATAATTTCGAACGGCTGGGAGGAGGTGTAACACACCACAACAATATGAATCGATACCTTATTAACTATTCCATGTAACACGTGTATGGTGACAAGTCTACTTTCCCGCGAAGTACAAAACTTAATAACAAACTATTATGAATAGGCATTTACTGGGTCGTTATGTGTAAGTTCTACATTTCATCAAATACGAGTATTAATGAGCTTTCCGGTATGTGTCAATTCTTTTTTTCAGACACATTTGCATCGATTATGACTGTTATTGACCTTTCACTCGTAAATTAATTTGATGAAATTTAAAAAAAAATCACTTACATTATTCAAAAAAGCTTTTCTACTCGCTTGTTAAAATTATTATTTGTTAAATTTTTTGAATGAAGAAATGGAATGGTATTGTACGTGCTCAATTAATACAAAGGAAAATTCTGATGCCGGTCTCGTCGGTAATGAGAATTCTTCAACTCGGCCCGCGATGTGTGCGGTTACACAATTTATACAGGGTGTTTTTTATACTTGATCAAACCAAAGGGGATTCTACTGCTCATATGCTTTTCCTGCAGGACCAATCAAAGTTTCAAAAAAATTTACCTCCCCATACTAAATGACTGATTGCTGATGATAATTTGTATGGAAAGGTATTTTTTAACCCTTCAATTATTACCAGCGAATCGAGACACAATAGAAATCATTTGTTACCGCGGTCTCATGCGACCACTTAGTCTTAAGGGTTCCACGAGTTAAATATTGAAAGTTCAGTCTCTTGACAAAATCAGATGCATCAGAGCAGTAGAATCAACCCTTTTGTTTGATCAAGTGTAAAAATAGCACACTGTATATTAAATTTCCATTTCGTTTTAATGAAACGTACACAGAACTGTCATGAATGAGAATTCCAACGGATCTTTCCCGGTATTAAATGTTAGCGTTTAGAAATCAAGTGTGACATGTTTTAAGTAAATAGCTTCTATTTACGCGATACACGTGATTCTTGGAACATGTTTAGCTTTCGTAATGAGATACGTAGACAATGTTGTGTTAATGGAGAAATCAAGTCGTGTGGGGATGACGGCACAAGAAGTTTAGTTGTTGCAATTCACGAAGGCGAGTGAGCTTTACATGTGTGGTGGCTCGCTACTGTTCGTTTTTCAAACGTTTTGATAGACATTACACTATCGTTATGTGCATGTACACGTACACACACAAGTAAAGCTCACTCGCCTTCGTGAGTTGGCTACTACTATAATACACTGCAGCGCTCCAAGCGTGTTGTAACAAGTATACATAAATGTATGTATGTATAGAGATGCTTTGTCTACTGCACAAATAAACATACTTTTCTCTAAGGTAAAGTAGTTACCCATAAGGAAAGTTATTCAATTTCTGTACCCGTTTCCTCCTGTTACAAGGTAAACGGTTGAAGATGGGCGCCAAAGTAACAATTTGTCTTGTGTTTTTTATGTAAGTATGTAGTACCTAGTAAATTCATGTGTTTGATAAACTGTTCACGCGAGAATTTCTTGGCTAGCTTTGGTACTTTGTAAATGACAAAACTCATGTTATTATAAGTACCTATCATCTTTGTCGACTTCATAATAAAATAATCATAAAAAAAACTATAGAAATCGAAATGAAACTTACTTGTTGTGGTGCGGTGTTTAGGTACACACTTAGGCTGAGTTGCACCACCTAACTTTAACGGTAACTATGACGATAACCGGTGCTTTTTGTCCATACAAAAAGCACCGGTTGACAGATTTTGACAGATTTTTAACGTTTGTCAAAGTTAAAGTAAGATGGTGCAACCCAGCCTTAGACTTTCAGTCGTAGGCAAAAAGTTTCTGCCAAATAAATACAATATTTTTTCCATTTTATCCCACGCCTCACCCGTCAGCCCTTTATTTTGCAGCTCATCTTTTAGTTATTTAGTTTTTCCAGTCTATTAACGGTCTCCCCTTTAGAAATACTTTAGCCTCAGCTTTTTCAATAGTTAGACAACTTATCGTTAGAGTTTCAGTGATCGTGTTACAGCAGATCAAGTGTCTAGGGGACTGTATAATAGTTAATACCTACCTAGGTATTTGAAATAAAAGTAAGCAGACAGCAATATAAAAGATAAAAACTGGCCAAGCGTGAATATGACTCGCACATAAAAGTTTCTGTATCAACATATAAGACTATACTATTTTGTACAACCGAAAGCTCGTTTCTTGTAAAACTTCCCATAATCTTAATTAATGTTTTAAAATTGAAATTTTGTAAGAAGAAACAACTTTCTACCGATTATGTGACACAGTCGCGGAGGCATATTATCCCTTTGTTTGGCACCTTTTGGGTACGGAATTTTATGAGTTTTTTAGAATAGTGACAGCACAAAAAACTATCACAGAACGCATCTCTTCAATTAGAACTTTATATCTTTCCTAGGATCTTTTCTACTATTCAAAAAGCCTTAAAATTTGTCACTGGATATTCGGCTGATAGTTCCGACTGTTCAAATCATATTCTCAGTAACAGAACAGAAGCATGATATCCTAATTCCCTTTTATCGTAGCATCTGAAGCATTATCAATAAATAGGCTTTATTTTCTATTTCTCTTCGAGTGGGAGCTATCACCTGAACTCATGTCATTCAAATTGAGTTACTCATTCATTCGGGAAGACAGGAGCTTAGCAGGTAGATTAGATGTGTACCTCTTTCTCGTTAAACTCGAACGTTTAGCTCTTTATATTATCAGGCGCAGGAGGATTACTGCAGGGAGTAGGCCTAGGGCTGGCAAAGCTGTGAATTATGAAATCAAAACATTTCGTGACTAACGCCCCCATTCAC